TTAAAAAATTTAACTTTCAAAATATTGATTTGTCTCAAATTTTTTTTTACAATCTCCCATACTGCCGTACACCCATCAACAAGGAGTTTTCAGGTTCCTATAATACCCATCATTCATAAAACTCAATTCATTATTCGCGAATTTAGAGTCATATATTTCAAATTAACATTGATAAATAACTTTGAAAAAAAAGTGGATTGAATCAGTGATTTAAAAAATAAAATTACTTAATTTCATCTCCATGTGGTCAACCTCATTTGTACAAGGGTTCATAAGTACTGACGACACTATTAAAGGTGATTGATACGGTAGAGATATGTTGTGTCAGCTTGTGTGTGGATATGAAACAATTCATTGATATTCTACACAACTTAAAATTCAAAGTACGAAGAAAAATATTAAGACTCCAATCTTGACTTTAATCAAAACAGTTATTTTGGGTAATTATGCAAAACCTACATGTAGTTGAGTCGATGCTGATGAAGTATGGGTGTTTGAATGTGTCAAGAACAACTAACACTTTGTAATTAACTAAAATCAATCGATTTAAATGATTAAAATGACCCCCAATCAATTCATATTGCCAAAAATAAGATTTTTACAAAAAAAGTGATTTGAATCAAGGGATTTTTTTTTTAAATCAAAGTGATTTAATTCACCAACCCTGACGGAAGGTCAAATTGATTTTGAAATCAAAACTCATTAATTTGAGGAACATCAATATTCAACCAAACAGAATTTCTTCCAAAACAGTTCAAGGAATGAATATGAAACCTCATACAAACATGAACCCTTGTCCAAAAATGTGGAAAATTTTATTATTTACAACGATTGAAGGTCAAAATTTGGCAAAACAACTAAATTGAGTACCGGTACCATGGTAACATTTTGTGAGGTGTTTTTATTGCCTTGGGTAACACTGTGATCTCCTGGCACAACACTGGTTTTTGAAAAGTGAACAGGTTTTTAATTTTAACTTGAAGCGTTTTACTACAATCAAACCAGTGATTCAAATGTTCAGTTAGTGATGATTGACACAAAGGAAGTCATGATGGCATCATCCCTCCAAAGGGCGCCCTCTAATGGCACTACAGAAAAAAAAGTATTTGTAAAGTTTAAATAGCAATTCAAAATTATGACAAATTGCCAATAAATATTAATTTATGCGAACATAAATATTTGCCAATAGATACAATAAATACATTGCGAAGTTTTAAAAAATATAATGTCATCAGCCTGGAGGTTAAAGTGGGAAGAATTTGAGCAAGATGCTTGTCTTTTCTTTTGTTTGTTGAAATATATCATTTAGTAAACCAATGTGGATGGTTGTTGCACAAATAATATCAGCTGTATTTAATACATATTAACGCTCGTGTGATTCTGATTTGCAAGTAAAGAACATTCTTTCTTTTGATGCTTAAAAATGGAGAAATGGGTCTGAATTCAATCAATTCTGCTGTATTTTACAGTGACATTTCAAAACTGAACTGAAAGAACACACAACAAATAATCACGATAATGTACCGCCCTATCACCCTGTGTTTCTCTAACAAACGCAAATGCCTTGTAGCTAATGTTTTCTGTCCATGTTTGTACATTTTTCTTGACATTCATTCTTCACTACCTTTCTTCTAATTGATATGTGGCACTTCACTTTAAGTTGCATGTGCATGACGTAATCAATATTCATTTGGCCTATTTTTAAATGAAGACATCATCAAACCGAAAGTAATTGTAAATAAGACACATTACGAAATCCATCTAAACCCCAAATAATACATTTGTTAAAATCAGTGTGAGGTTAAACTGAAAAAGGGCTGCATTTTATCATTCTTTTTTTTTGTTTTGTTAGTTTTTACATGAACATATGCTAAACTGACTCAAACAGTATCCAATGAAATATAGTTGTTCTCAATCACCCTGTGTTTTTTAACAAAATAAAAATTCCAAACATCTAGTTTGCTTTGAAATGAATGCAGAAATCTTCTGTCAGCCACAGTTTGAGCCAATAAGGATGCTGGAACGGCATACAATTGTTAAGTTTTAGATTGGCGTCGAGTTACTACGCTGTTTCAGTAAACGTTATATTTCTACTTTGTGTGTCCTGAAAAGGGTGACTTTCGGGCAGCCTCATTTGCAAAAAAATATTGCACAAAAATATTGAATTTATTAATAGGCAAATAATATAGATATAACACAAACGTAAAACAAAGCAAAACATGTCACTTAAATCTGGGAAACTAATGTACGTTACAGTTATCCTCAACCCCAACAACCTAGGTCTTTTTGCTAGCGGCACCCTCAATCCTGCATCATCCTCCAACTGCCTCCATGTCAAAAATTGGATGCAGCCTCAATCCTCCAAAACTGTCTGTTATTTCTTGAATTTGTCCATTGGAGGGGTGACCACTGCCTCAATCCTGCAAAATCCTCAGGCAATCACTGTTAATATGTTGAGGCAGAGCCAGTGACATCCTGGGGCAGTGCGGAGGATTTCAAGTATAATCTAGGCCTACACTTTTCATGGTCAAGCATAAACATCACAAGTTCCGGCCTTAGACCTTGACACAATGCTTCCTGCAAAATCAACTGCACATTTTTGCCATACAGCATCAATCCTTCAAAATCCTGAACTTGTGTTTAGAGGATTTGGGAAGGTTAAGCTTACAAAAAAACTTATTATTGACAATGGTGTAGCTAATCACTTCTTATAGTGCAGCTTTGGACGTTGGCAGATAACATAAAATTTGTTGTCACATGGGATATCATTCCAGCCAGACTTATCTGTAGTTGCACAATGCTCTCTTCCTTCTCCATTATTAGGTTCACCCCACCTCCAGTTTCTGTACTCCACTGCAGAAGTGCCATCCTGACACACCCATGTTCCTATTGTATGAAAATGCAGAAGAGATTTTTCAATTACTAGCAGAAAATTCTGTCCAACAAAACTTCTAAGAGTTGGGTTTTTTCCCCCTTCTTTTACTCTGACTGGGAGTCGTAATTAATTGGACCCTTGTACTTTCTAATTTAAATACATAACAATATATAATAGATCTAAAAATTAATGTGGCCTGACGTTGCGAACTTAGCAAGTTCTTCTTCAGAGGCTAAAACAGAAATGACAGAGGTACAAACATTAACAAGGGGGTGCACACAAACATGCAGGGATGAAAGAAGAAACACAAAAGGAGGATTAGGTGGGAAAGGTGTGGAAAGATGCAGGGGAGGGTGGACAATTTGATTGCAATTGAAAAATGTTTCAGTTGTGTATTTTTTTATCTTCATGAAAATTGACAGGATATAATTCAGAATTATGATTAAATTTCTAATTTGATATTATGTAGATGGAGCCGGGCATTAATTTCTGTTGGAATGTTAGTACACTGAATCCAACCTTCTAGACTATTTGCTTCAATCCTATTCTAAACATAAATTGTTACTATAGACTCTGTGCATAAGTACACCCTCCACGGTTACAAAGGGAGAGTTGGGGAGGCCACTGAGAGGAACATTTGAATGCATAATGCAAATGGCGCTTGATGCTCATGCTAAGACGCCACAGTTTCGCGCACATTCATAACAAAAAAAGTTGAGTGTACATGTACAGTCGAGTCTCGTTATAACAAACTCGTTCGGACCTAGCCAAATTGTTTGTTATATCAGAATTTTGTATTAAGAGGAACATCAGTCCCTTTCATTGTGCACATAAATGCACAGTCGGGACCAAGGCTTTATGTTTGTTATAACCAGAGTTTGTACTAACAAGAGTCGACTGTACTTTGTGTCATATGAGCCCAAACCAGTATGCACCCTCAGTGTGTCCCTCCCTCTTGGCCACTAATGATCACTCACGGAGTCCATAGGTAGAAAAAAACAAAAGCAGACAAACCTTCAACTTCAAAATCATTGCAGTTGATCCAAAACCAGGGGTGCAGGTTATTCACAAGAAACTCAGTTTCCTCCTGAGACTGTGGCATGACCAGGCCACCTCCCATCTTAATGCACTCCTGTTTTGCCTCGAGCCAGGTTAGCGACATGCTGAGTTTTTGGTAGCATTTGTCGCCCCACCAGCTCCAAGCAGGAGGACAGGGGTACTGCCTGTACACCCCTCTCATAAAACTCCCACACCTCCCACTACCGTCACTGCATCTGATCATAAGACCGAGGCTCACCAAGCCAAAGATGAGACATTTAGGCAACATCATTTTCAGATGTTGCCAGACTGGATCCCAGTGGTATACTGGAGACTGGTATACTGGAGACTGCGGGTGCTTTGTCAGTTACTTTAATTTTAATTTGGTGTTCGCGTTATTAGTGCTGCGCCAATTGACACCAAAGAAAATTCATGCTTAGTTTAACTCATTCAAGCACACCCAATATTGCATTCAATGATTTTCATCAACCGTGCCTGGTTGCCATGACTGTGGAGAACTGAAGGCTTGTTGTCAAAGCAAACAAAGATGGCATATTTTCCCGCCAAAATAATACCCAAAAAAATGACTGAACGCCATTGTTGGATCACCTTCGCACATATAACACAGCTCTTCCTTTATTTAATCAGTGGGCTTATCATCAAAATTCCTTTCCCATATTCCATTTCAGTTCCAATCTTTGAAAAATGCAGGAATTAACGAAACACTATAACCAAAGCCCACTTGACCCGCCCATTTGACCCGCCCATTTGACTGATCAGAGAGTTCCCACCCACTTTTTCACCGTGACAGCTCTGGAGGGCATTTCGTGCGGCATCTCACTGGTTGGCCTGGGTCTGATCTTTGCCTCAGAAGTTCTGGGTCAAAAGTTCAACCAGGGTTAAAGGGGCTCTAACGATGCTTTTTACTTACAAAAAATGTATGTCTCAATAGGGAACTTGTGGAGTATGACATTTTTTGACGAAAAAATGACGGAGTAATTAAACAAAAAAATTGCGTCCTCAATTGCTCAAGATTAAGGCTTATTTGATTGATGGTATTTTTCTTCTCTCCCCCTCCCTTCCTCAGACTCAAGATGTGTGGCTTGGTGGCTTGTTCACTCCAGAGGCCTACATCACAGCAACCAGGCAGTTTGTAGCTCAAGCCAACAGCTGGTCTCTTGAAGAACTGTACCTGCAGGTAAGCACTCGCCCATCTTCCCCTCACAGTCATCCAAAAGTAGCTTGAGAAACTCCAGCTCCAATGCTCATCGGGAATTCAACAGTTAGAGCTGGAGGTCAATGTACGTTGTAGCCAGCGGTCTAAAAATGGCAGAGGCCGATTCACGAAGCAAAGGATCAAATTGAAACAGAACAAAACTGACTAAAATATTTTTTTTAAATGATGATTTCTGCGGCTGTATTGAGGCCAAATTTTACAGCCTACGCCATTTTGGGTCCGCTATGTACACCGTAGATTTGTTGAATTCCCGATGAGCATTGGAGCTGGAGTTTCTCAAGCTATTCCAAAAGGGTAGTCTTGATACAAGACTGGATTAATTATTTATTCTCCTTGACAAGTGTGGTCAAGCAACCACAATCGTAGAGGCACTATCGACAACATGACATGAATTTTATCTTGGGAATCTTGGCATACGGGCCCAAGAAATTCTGAGCATATGTCTTTCATGCTGTATTTTAGCCGATGTCATTTAGAAGAACACATTCCAAATCCAGTATTGGACCAAGACAGGCGGGTTAGCAAAATCCCGGCTCTGTTTCAGCTTCAGCTTTATAATCATTTGGAAACCAATAGAACTGCTATAAAGTTTGCCCTGACGATGTAGGATTTAAAGATATAGTCCATCATTTGTAATTTGTGCATTATGTTCGTTTGAAGCAACAAAAGTGCTCAAAATCTAAAGAAGGGTCCGAGACACGTTCTCACTGAGCCGATTGCAGCTACGCGATGTCGCACACTGTTCCAACGAATTATAGCAATGTGCGTCGTGCGTCATGCGTCGTGCGTGTGCGTCATGCCAATGCTTGCACGCGCTTCGCCGAATAACAAAACGAACTACTAATTTAAATTTCCTACGGTGCGTCTTAAGAAGCACCGTTGGAAAGGCTTTCTTTCGTTGATTACTTCAAAATGACAGCTTGCCAGAAAGAATAATTTCACAGGGAGTTTAGTCCCTTACTATCTTTCAACCATGTATGTTTTTCAACAATAATTACGCCAGTTACTTTTTGGATAACTGCAAATGATGGACTATAGCTTTAATCATAAGAAAGCAGGACGTTGACCTATTTTCATCCAGAGTCAGGGGCCACATTTCTTCTGGAGCCAAAGCTTACATCTTTGCAACTTTTTATGTCTTGTGGTAGAAATCAGGCGTTATTATGAACATCTTTGGGATTCCTAACCTTTTTTTCCCCCCACCACTACCGAGTTGAGGGCAAACATTTTGTCAAGGGAAAGCTTGGCAACATGAAATTTCAGTTAATCTCAAATAGAAATTGTTTTTGGTTTAATTCTGCAGCATCTGTGGTAGAGATTTTACAAAACAACAAGTGCGAGTGCACAATAATCTCTGGCCGTATTGCATGAAAGTCTTGCATGAAATGATTGTGCGTATGTAAGCCCGGGCCGCCGTCCCAAGCAAAAATCCCGGGGACAGACATATGCAAAATAGACGGGCATGTGCATCGATCAAGACAAGATCAAGACAAAGCCCGGGGTTGCGAAAACTTTCTTCAAGAGTGCATTTACTGATGACAGCATGGCAGTTTGTCAATGTTTGGTCAAATATTTGGTAAATTTTCGGACAGACAGAATGACAGACAGACCGACCGTCCGACCACCAAGTGACATGTAGAAACTCCTTCCAGAACTTAAAAAGTGACGTCCTCAACTCGTTGTACGGTATAACTAGCCTACATGTACCTCTGTTTTATATTTCCCTGTTGTACTACTCAAAGCAGTCAATATTTGAATTTTATGTTTGTTTTTGTTGTTGTTGTATTTTTTAGGTGACAGTTTCGGATCCCGGCCAACAGCTCAAGATGGACGACTGCAGTTTTGCTGTTACAGGTGCGGTATTCATTCATGCTAATTGACATGATCTGATCAAATGCGAGGGTCATTCTATAACTTTGGGGTCCACTTTTATCTGTCACAGTTTCATCTGATTAGTTTGTAATTTTGAATGCACTCCTTAATGCCTTATTCTCCCAAGAGTGATTTAAAGCACACTACCTAATCTACATAAGTCAGTGGAGATTGGTTCCCATTCCATCCTTGTATGGAACTTCCAATAAGCACAGAGGTGAGAATCAGACTGGAGACGTGACGTTAACGCTAAATATTAAAACATCATGTCTGTGTTGCAGTGATACACTCTGTAAATCATGCATTAGGCTTGGACGATATTTCAATAATATAATATAGTGACAATATTTTTTTTGATACCGAGCAATACCGAATGATGTTGTTGAAATACCGGAACACTCGGTATGGAAATTCAACGCCACAATATTATCTCTAAAATGTGGCCAGATGTGTGAAAAAGACCTTACAAGTGAGAAAGAAAAAACGAGTTATGCACACTGTATGGATAATTGCTTAAATTCTTTCTGGGGTCTTGGTATCAAGATAAGACAAAAATCGTGGGAGTTGGACTTCACATGCTTAAAACAGATATTTTTGCTTACTTGCCATTCATCAGGGCCTTTGGATTTCTGCTGACACCTCCTGTTCTGAGTGTTTTATTTTTGATGACATAATAGTCTGCCTGGATGAGTAACCGGTAATACCAAATACCAAGATATGTTTTTGTGACGATATACCGTGCACTCTCAAAATCCAGTACTGCACAAGCCCATCATGCATCACAGGCAAGATGGCGCCAGACTGGTCCTTCAAGCCTCTCTGCCATTCACCGTTGAGGGGGTACTTGTGCATGTAGTCCAAAAAAATCCCGCCGAATGTCATTATCTAGGACATTACCACCGCTAGCATGATTTCAAGTATAGTCTTGGTCCCTGGCGAGGCAGTCAAGCCACTGCAGTGGTAGAGGACACTGTCAACGAGATAAATCAAATCCAGCCTTGGAAATTTCGGCACTCTGACCGGAGAAATTCCACACATACCATGTTGACACACTAGCTTACACAGGCATAGAAGTGGGGTACTTCCTTTGTTCTCGTGTACTAACATTTTGCAATGTCGCACACTAATTTTAAAATGCTCTTATTTTAACCAGAATTAATTTCCTGGGCTAAAATTCGGACTTAATATCCCTTTTCTAAAACTCTTCCATTTGCGACGGATCAACCCACCTTGGAAATTCCTAGTTTTTGAGTAAAATCCATATATCTTCTTTGTGAAAAACTTGTGGGGTACCAAAACGGTACCCCGCAAGTCGGTGGGCATTCCTTGTGGGGTACCTCCCATTGTTCCGGTACCCCATAAGGCAGTGTTTATACGTTCGTTAGCTTGAAGTGGGCGCGCGTGAGGTATGCTCCGATTTTCTCTGGTCAAGTACCAAATGATTCGTCTTATTGGTAACGCTCTCTATCATCGTGCTAGCTTGACCGCACTTGTCTGGGACCGGCTGCGATATTTGGCAAACAGAATCCAAGTCCAGTCTGGGACCAGTCCGTGGAGTTTTGTTCTTTGTCTTGTGTCCTTTGCAACAAAGACAACTTGTAGATGTAATACTGAATGTCTGTTCTTGGATTCCTTCCAGGGCTGAAACTACAAGGAGCCAACTGCAAGGGCAACAAGCTGTACATCACATCTGTTATCTCAACAGACTTGCCGCCTACCGTCTTCAAATGGGTCCGGTAAGCTGTTACAATGAGCACTTTTAATTCATCAAAATAAAAACAAATAAAATTTCAGAAACTCTGGAAACCATCACAGTAAACAACAAAGGAGAACTGACTTAAGCAAGGGTGCAAGTCTCGCTGGTTCATGTCTGACTAGTCTAGTCGTAGACTCCTATTGTGTATCTTTTATACCCAATAATAATACCCATAATCAGTTGACCAAAATTTTCATTTTATTATGCTCATCAACTTGCAATATTTTCGAAATGTTCATGCTTTGGGTTTTTTAAAAGATCTTATTTATCACCCTTGACCTTTTAAAGTTCTGTCCACTGATCACAAAAAAGTAAGTGTTGTTTCAGCAAAACGAAAACAATTCTCATAGGGATGCAGGTGAATTGTTTTCGTTTTGCTGAAAGAACACCTACTTTTTTGTGATCCGTTGACAGAACTTTAAAACGGTGTTTGTGTTCAAAATTCCGTAACTTAAAAAGGTTTGGGCTTTCATATCCTAGATTTTTAAAGTGCTACAGGCAAAAGTTCATTCAAAAATTGGTCCTGCCATTTGGGTTTGGTTTTTTTTACTCACCCTGTACAATAAAAAACATTGTTTTGTTTTTTTCCCTTTTTACAGAGGAACTTCCCAAGCAAGTAAAACCAAGGTAAAATCATATTCCATTTGACGTTCCGATTTTTTTTATTTATTTTTTTTTTGGGGGGGGGTAGTAAGGAGTTTTTTGCCGTTCCATTTCTAGATGATCCTAAAATGGACTGAAAAGTCCTCATTTACAAAACATGAAAATATCAAATTAAGAAAAACATAATTTTTAAAGTTGTACAAAGAAAATGATCGGAGCAGGGTTTGAACCTGCGATCTCCGGTTTGCTGTTCCGGTGCTCTTCCAGTCAGAAGCCAGAAAAAAACAGTATGGATACTGTCATGTAGTGAAATTATAAGGCCAAACAAAAAAAATTGTGTGTTTACGGTAATTCTGCCTACCTGGATTTTTTTGAGCCAAATTGCCGACCTCAAAAATGAGCACTTTTTGCAAATGTTTCTGGGACTATTTTCTTCATGACTTACATTTGAACAGAAACGATCCTTACGTACATCTTTAGTGAGTTTCAAACATGGCAAAAGAACACGCAAATGTATGTCTAAAATGAAAAAAAAACTGAAAAAATAAAATTATTTCCCTACGTACCTACCTGGATTTTTTTCAGGCCGTTACCGTAAACGCACCATTTATTTTGTTTGGCCTAAGTATTTTTGCATTAAAAATTGCAAACTCAATAACTGACCTAGAACTGCCCTCACCCCATTAACAAAAACATTGGGCTATTACTGAACTGACGATTCTTATATCGTGACTAACATAGGTCCACGAAAAGTCAATCTCTCCCTCCCCCCCCCAAAAAAAAAATTAATTACCAACAAAAAATTAAAATCAATTTATTTTCAAATTTCATAATATTTATTTGTTTGATTTCTGTTCCCTCCTTTCTCAACAAGGTATTGCTGCCGGTCTACCTGAACCAGACCAGAGCTGAACTCCTTTTCACCGTCAACATCGAAAGCGGTGACGGGGAAGGCCCCAGCAAGGGACACAGCTTCTACGAGAGAGGCGTAGCCCTGCTCTGCAATGGGCTGTCTGCTTAAGACAAGCCAGACTAGACACTTTGGTCACTGCGCTCTTGAAAGATTAAGTAAAACTTCCCATCATGTAACAAGTTTGATGTTGTCAGAATTTAAATTGTGACCATTTAATTGTTCAGTTCCATCTCCCAAGCATTGTTCACTTTTCATTAGTGGTAAAGTTTCTGCAGGGTTATATTTTGAAGTAGACTTTATGTTGGGGTTGAAGTGTTTTGGGAGCTACTTTTCTGTAGTCTTATAGAGTGTGGTGTATTGTGTAAGATGGCTGTATTGCTAAGAACGAACTGGTTCATACTGTAACCGTGTTGTGCGAACAGTTAGCTTGGGTAATTTTTAAGCATAATACGAAGTGAAGTTTCTCTTAAGAATGATACTACATTGTAATTTTGCAGTAATGTTTAAATTTTGGTCACCGGAATATATGAAGAATAAAGTTGAGAAAATTCTTGATATTATTGTTCATCAGTGCATAGGATTTTGATTTGCTTGCATGATTAAATTCAGCTGAGAAAAACTAATAAAGTACATGTAATTTCAAAAAAAAAAAATCTTTGCCTTAAATATACACTGGAATAAATAGACGCTTTAATGCTTATTCGGAACAGATTTCTAGAAAATAATTCAAGATTCAAAATCATTGCTTACTTTTTTTTATGCATTTTGATGCATGTTTGAATTTAGAAGAGAAAGTTATAAATGCTTCATTTCTTATGTCGTGAATATGATTAGAATGCATGACATAAAGTAAAAAAAATGAAAAAGCACAAAGTATAGTGGAAAACATTTGGAATGTAGCTTTAATATAGGACAAGTTCGGTAGTTTTTTGCTGAGAGGTTTAACAGTAAAGTAAAGTTAAAAAAAATAATAAAAAAATAATAATTGTGGGTTATAATTGGCAAGTTTTGGATTGTAATTTTAATTTAGAAAAATCGACAAATACTTTTGACTTTTTTCTCTTAATTTGTGTCTGGATGCCACTCATTTTCGATCACCTTATTACAGTGGAATAATAGTAAAAAAAAAAAAGAAACGCATGGCGCATGAAGAATGCATTATAGAGTAGGTTGTCAAAACAGAATATGAAGACTTTTTTGTTTTTTTTTTGTCTTTTCTTTTTTTAGATCTTTGCAGTTACTGTTTTTAATTGTTCAATTTGGGGAATTTATGCTGTAATCAAAGACATTTATTAACAGGGAAGTTGGTCTGGTTGATATTAGTAAGTTGAATTATGAAGGTGATAAAACTAAAACTAAAATTTCCATTTCACCAGTTTTTCCATTTGATTTCACATCAGTAAGCTTAGATGGCAAAGGTTAATGCATTATGATACTAGTGATGTAAGCTGTTCTAAACGAAAATTCTAACATAAATTGCAAAAAATAATAATGGATTAATTGTGCATGAACAAGTTGAATTAGATGTGCTGCTGCAAAGAGTATTTGAATGTCTGTAATGATCAATAAAGAAATTAGAATATAGCAAGTCACTCTTTTCCTGAACGTGTATTTTGTTGCTGTTTATTTAATCTGATTCACTTCCCTGTTGGAATAAAAAGATGACACAGATGAGGAACTGTAGTGTTTTTTTCTCCCGTTTCAGCTAGATCCGAAATGGTACTGCAATGCTGCACATGAATTAGACTGTTTTCTAAATTAGCAACATGTTTATCAAATTGTTCAGCCAGACTGGAAGAACTTGAGCTTTTAATAAAACTTTTCCCCTCGTATTTTCATTATCAGTTGTTCCCTTTTTTGGTAAATTTGTTCTGGAGTAATCTGATGATGTAAAATACACAGTCTATTGTGATTCTTTAACCCATCCCAAAATGGAAATCTAGTGGCCTTCTACGAAGAATGGATGCAAGAGTACTTTGGACAAGAACAGAAAAAAATTCAACAGCCGCACACATTATCTAAAATATAAGGATAATACAGTCACCAGGAAAAAAAGAGCCAAACTGGAAATAGCAAAGGAAAGACACACTACGTGCATGGTCGGCAATGAATGAATGCTGATTAGGGACACAAGGAAATTGGCCCACAGGAAGAACCTAGATCCGACCAACAGAGGTGCATCCGTAATATTGTTTCCTGTCTAACTCTTCTGAACATGAGGTCTTTTTTACAGATACCACACATCAGCCATTAGGCTATCAGCTTCGGTCCAAAAAATGGGCCACTGGTATCAAATGATCGAAAAGAGCAATGTTCATAGCGATTTTTGGCAAGGTGTACACATCTAGAATTGGAAAATGTGTGATAGCTTTGCAGTTTGAGCGGTGGCAGTTTTTTGGGTGTTATCACTTTTAAAAAAAAAATTCAAAATGGCCGCCAATATGCTTGAACCGGATTAATTATATGTGGAAACAAGCATGTTTTGGCTGCCATTTTTCAAAAAAAAAAGTGATAGCACCCAAAAAGCTGCCACCGCTGCAATGCTATCATCATATATTTTCCAACTACAGGGGTGCATACCTTGCCAAAAATTGCAATGAGCATTATTCCCCTAATTTGATACCAACCAAACCCCCAGGCTGATGGCTTACATCTTTGGGAAAAGTTTTTTTTTGGAGAGGCACAACACCCCAAACTAAGTGAAAAGATAACATGTATCCCTTTCTTTTCAGTCAGCAAAATATATTGACCAAATTTTGTTTTTCTCCCCATTTTTCAATTCATAAAAAAACAAGTGTGCCCACTGGAAAAAAAGGGCTACCTGTCCATTTTTACTCAACATGGTTTTGCCCATGGTTTTGTGGAAAATGTTTCTGAAAGTAGAGTGGTGAGTAATTAAGATCCTGCTTTGTTTGAGAATGTAGGCAGGAGAGAGAACATGATGTTCCATGCAATTAAGTCGTATCCATCACTGCAACATGAGCAACTATAGACTTTAGAATATGAGGAATTACCATCTTGAGAAAATTATTAAAAACAAATGCACCCATATATTCCCCGTACAAATGCATATTCCCCATGAATTGTGCATGCAGAGAACAAAAATGTGGGTGGAGGGATAACATCACATGTATGAACCTTTTGAGACATGGCAGACACAACAGAAAGGCACTTTTTTGGGCGAATAAATCCGGGTGAAGATGAGAGTATACCCACTCCAAATACAATGTACTGCCCTCATATTGTGTCTGCCATATCTTAAAATAGCACCCTCCTATTGTGTCCACCATCCGTCAAAATACTGGCCTTCCATTATACCCCCCTATATCCAAGTACCGTTTGCTATTGTGTCTTCCCTATCTCAAAAATAGCACCCTCCTATTGTGCCCTCCCATTATATGGCCCCCCCCCCATATCTAAGAACCGCCCTACTATTGTGTCTTCAATATCTCAAAATAGTTCCTTCCCCTTGTGTTTGCCCCATCTCAAAACACCGCCCTCCTATTGTGTCCACCAAATCTCAAAATACCACCCTCCTATTGCATCCACCAAATCTCAAAATAGTGCCCTTCTATTGTGCCCTTCCATTTATTCCCCCTATATCTAAGTACCGCCCTGCTATTGTGTCTTCCTTATCTCAAAATAGTCCCCTACTCTTGTGTCCACCAAATCTCAAAATAGCGCCCTCCTATTGTGTCCACCCTATCAAAATAGCGCCCTCCTATTGTGCCCTCCCATTATGGCCCCTTATATCTACATGTAAGTACTGCCCTGCTATTGTGTCTTCCATATCTCAAAATGGCACCCTCCTATTGTCCACCTTATCAAAATAGTGTCCTCCTATTCTGCCCTCCCATTATGGCCCCCTATATCTAAGTACTGCCCTGCTATTGTGTCTTACATATCTCAAAATAGTGCCCTCCTATTGTGTCCACCAAATCTAAAAATGGTCCCCTCCCCTTGTGTTAACCAAAACCCAAAATAGTGCCATCCTATTGCATGTCCACCAAATCTCAAAATAGTCCCCTCCTCGTGTCCACCAAATCTCAAAAAAGCCCCCTCCCCTTGTGTTCACCCTATCTCATAAATACCGCCCCCCTATTGTGTCCACCAAAGCTCAAAATACCGCCCTCCTATTGTGTCCATCAAATCTCAAAATACCGCCCTCCTATTGTGTCCACCAAATCTCAAAATAGTGCCCTCCCCTTGTGACCATCTCAAAATACTGCCCTCCTATTGTGTCCACCCAATCTCAAAATAAAAGTCCCCTCGTGTCCACCATCTCAAAATAGCGCCCTCCTATTGTGTCCACCCCATCTTGAAATAGTGCCCTCCCCTTGTGTCCACCATTTCAAAATAGTGCCCTCCTATTGTGTCCACCAAACCTCAAAATAAAAGTCCCCTCGTGTCCACCATCTCAAAATAGTGCCCTCCTATTGTGTCCACCCCATCTTGAAATAGTGCCCTCCCCTTGTGTCCACCATTATGGTCCATGGATCATCGAGGGAGGCTAGTTTTACTTCACCACGAGATAAAGCATTCAATATTTGTTTTATAACACTTCACCCACAGATTCTGCTTGATTTTAATATTTTAAATTATTTAAATCTGAACACAGTTGAAATAAACTTCAATTTTAATACAAAATTGGTGGAAAATGTATTTCTCTCTTCCAAACTACCCCTTCACGAAATGTTTGAACCCAACTCTGCGGCGACACTCTTTGGAACAATACACGCTACGCGCACACAAGCATCCATTTGCACACAAATACCGCGCCGTGGAAATAGTACTTTGGTTGCTAATGGTATAGTTCTTTGGTTGCTACGGGTATAGTACTTTTGGCCGTGAACAGAAAGATAGCAAATTTAGAAAGTAACATGCGACTCACTCTCCGCCAATCAAGACACAGAATCTGTGGGTGGTGTTATAATTCAAAATAGTGCCCTCCTATTGTGCCCACCCAACCTCAAAATAAAAGTCCCCTCGTGTCCACCATCTCAAAATAGTGCCCTCCCTTGTGTCAATCTCAAAATTGTGCCATCGTATTGTGTCCACCTATCTCAAGATTTTCCCCTCCCATTGAGTTCACTTCATCTAAAAATAAAACTGCCCCAATTTGCATTCATGTGAGGGATATGTAAAAAATATATTACATGCATTTGAGAGAGATGAAACCGACGTAAAGCGAAAAACAAACTTGAAGGATGGAGACTCAAAGGATGGTAGTATATAAAAATAAAAAATTAAAAGGGAGAATCCAATAACGAATACACATGAAGATCAAAACTACATGTATAAAACACAACGGTGACAAATTTGACTGTTTACTAGCAAAGCAGATGATTTTAATTCAATTTGCTTGATAAATGTGAACTGGTATCAAAGGAACATTTGTGTTACATTAAGAAATAATTAGTACAAGTTATTACCAAAAAAAATCTTTAAATCCATAACCAAGAATTTATTTGAGAATTAATCATGTCGGAAGAGAATTAAGGTACTATATGCGGTGTACAATTCTGAAGTTAGTAGATACTGTAGCAGATTATAGCGGATAACAACTATGATTTTCATGTCCTAAATTTACAATGGGGAGTATTGGTACCCATATCCCTTACAAATGAAACTTATATGTCTACATACAGAACTACATGCAAGCTTGTAAAAAAATCCACTTTATTTGAAAAGAATTATTGAATCTACAAAAGAAAAAATAAGCAAACCAACATAATATGACTTCTTGTATGATTTAAAAATTCAAATATTGTAACACAAGTTATTATAGCGTATATCATTGGCAGATATCCAAAAAGTAACTGACAAAATTATCGTTGAAGAGCATACTTAGTTTGAAGATAGCAAACTTCCTGTGAAATTATTCTTTCTGGCGTGCTGTCATTTTGAATAAAAAAATAAAGAAGGCCTTTTCGAAAAATGTGTCAAGCAAGTAATGCATTTTTTGAAATTTCTGTTAGCAGTCGCAATTCGGCGAATATGTGTATGGGTGCGCGCACAAGCATTTGAAACACAACATACACGCGCTTGCTCTTATTTGTCAGTTTAGCACCTGACATCGCGTAGTTGCAATCCGCTGAATGAGAACTGAACATGTTCTGGACGCTGATTTTGGGCACAATTCAAAACATGACACTATAACTTTTGAATTGAAAATGAGATCTTAGAATACTGGGTTTTTTTTCAGAATGTACAGCATTCACAGAGCTAAAACTTCATCAGGTTAGTTGTTAAGTACCCGTCTTTAGATTTTTAGCACTTTTGTTGCTTCAAACGAAAAACAAATGCATAAATGACAAATGATATACCCTATGTTTAAGCTTACAGAGAAATAAAAGAACTTACAATCAAAGACTTGTGATAATGACGGAGCTCTGGAAGAGCAAACTTGCTCATCGAGTTGATTTCATTTGACATACTTTTAAGCTGAAAATTGTCTAGAGCTTAACAGGTGTCTTCGTGAGATAATCATTGTGCCTAAACATGATGCCAGTTTCCTGTCACTCCCATTCAACAGTTCAGATAATCAATGGGGAAATGCCAGGAAGACGTTATCCCGAGATCAATAACTCTGGGTCTTAAGTCTTAACAAGCACTTCCAAAGCTCCGTAATGATCAGTGCAACCAAACTCAAGATTACTTTGTCCCTGAATTTAAATTTTAAATGATACATACGAGAAACCTTGAAAGCTGATTTTGTTTTCACACAGCCGTTTTGTGTGAAGATGTTTACTGATTGAATTAAAGCACACAAAGTTGCAAGAGTTGAGCCTGGCAGATTTTCTTGGTATGAGATCTTCTTCAATCCTCCAAAATGCAACACTGAATTCAACCCAAAGTCACATGCTCAAACTTCAAAACCAAAAATGAACACTCTGCCCCTCAGCTCTGATAGTTTTGATATTTTGGAAAACTGGGCGGGGTCCCCTGGCTTAACTGCGCACGCCTGGACCAAACTCATACTGCAGAGCTTGGTGTTACAATGTGAGGACTTAAAAAAGGTGAGGTATTAAAAATACGATTACAGACTGATTAGGCGGTGTAAATATGAAGCCATTACGGAGGTGGAAAAAGGCTCATGCAGCACAGATCGCATGCAAACACTCAATGGTCCTAGACCAATAGGGTTACACAATATTATGTGCATGCACGCCTTGACTTTTAGATCACAAGCCAAACGCACAGTTCCACTTCAGAAATGGCATCTAAATTTTGTCGCGGGAAACATCTAGATAGTTTATCCTGAAATGTTATGGAAGATGTCAGGAGATTTTCACATATGTGCATTGGACAATTCTGACGCGCTTTGTCTTGGTAGAATCAGATTTCACATGCAACTATACTACCATCAAATTCAGTATATTGATTATTTACATTTATAGAAAAAAAACAGGTACATGTAGTAACAGGTGATTGATTTTGAATTGTATTCCACTTCACAATAATTCACACCATTCGACTTTTAACAGATTACTCTCCTCTGTATACACTGTAATGAGAAGGTTGCATTAATCTCATTCACTATTACAAAGATTTATAATTTTATATCTAGTTTCTTTAAACAAATCTCTGCCAAATATCTTGGTAACAAAAGCAATGACAGAATCAAAGCAAAGAAATAGACAAGGGTTCATAATTTATACAAAAAAAGTAACAGGCCAGAAGACTAATTCCTCAGCTCCCTCACATCCGCCCAACAAAAATGAATTAACTCTAACAAAAATGTGTGATTTGATTGAAAAATGCTCAAATAGAACAAGGTTGCTGATTGCGAAAAGGTAGATCAAAGTGACAACTTACAATTTGACTTTCCCCTGTTTTTCAATTTATTGGGTTGTTTTTTTTCTTTTTCTTTACATCAGTTATACTGTTAGTGTGTTCCATTCTCCAATAAGCTGTTGGCCTACATGTACATGACATCACACACAATGGCATCAAATTTCTCATACATTATCAATTTGGAATCATTCTGCAAAAAAAAAAAGACCTTGAGTTTAAAAAGTCCTCAAACATTCAAATTACTTTTTAGTCTGATTAAGACTAACCCAGTTGTCAAAACAGCAAGTGTACCTGCCGACTGATCTATTCTTGTGCATACAAGACATCAGACATCAATTTGTTTGTAAACCACAAAGGGATCTTATAGCAATTTTTCCATGTTATCGATGTCCCCTAACGGGATTCTAAGTTACCTCTTACACAGTGTGACCTGGGGACCATTATTTGCAAAAGAGTTTTGAAGAAAAACAAACTGAAGTATCATATGTTTCTAATTGTCCCACAGATATTACATTACAAGCATGCTGTTCCATGTTAATTTGCAGTTAGGCAAATTAACGAAACAAGTGAGGATTCTTTCTCTTGACTTCTTCAAATATGTTGGATCTCACCAGGTCTGACTTGTCGTTGCACTGCATGCAAACTTTGATCTTCTCTGATACAAGCGTCTTTAGGGCTTGCCCAGATGCTGCATATAACATTTTCTTTTTAACAGGCCCATTATCATCAGTCCTGGAAAGGAAATTTTTTAAAAGTGAGTATTTTCAACTCTCCCATAATTATTCCATTCTTTGCATTAATTACAAACTTTAATACGTTTATTAACCCTAACCGCCCTGAATCCTCCAAAATCCTTTTTGCAAATTGGAGGAATTTGCAGGATTGAGGTTACATGGCAAAAGTGCGTTGCTGATTTCGGAGTACGCACTGTGTCAAGGTCTTAAGCTGGACCTTGTGTTGTTTATGCTCAGCCGTGCATAAATTTAGTCCTTGATTATACTTGAAATCCTCCGCACTGCTCCAGGATGTCACTGCCTCTGCCTCAACCTATTGACAGTCATAGCCGGAGGATTTTGCAGGACTCAGGCAGTGGTCACCCCTCCATGGACCATATTCAAGAAATAACGGAGGAATTCGCAGGATTGAGGCTATATGCTATTTTTCCATGAGGCTAATTGGAGGATTTTGCAGGATTGAGACTACATCCTAGCAAAAAGGCCTAGGGAGTTAGGTTTAAAGGGGCCATGAAGTGAATTTTGTGCAAATTTCTACTCTTCTTAAAATGTATGAAAAACATTTGACATCCCTTTTTCGTTAAATTTATTGGGAAAATGCACTTCTTGAAACATTAATTAAAACAATTTCCATGCTTTTCCGGACAACTGAGGGTGCTGTTAATGTAATGTCATTTCAGGAAGACGCTGTTCAGTTGTCAGTTTAGAGGTTTTCTACTCGAATTGTGAGCTCAAAAATGTGCTTAGGCCAAACAAAAAAACCTTAGGTCGGGTCAAATGGTTAGAATTTATTTTGTTTTCTTCTGGAGCCAATGCATGTCAGGAACGATACATGTACATGTTTACATGTAAGCGGTCCCCAATCAAAGTGTTTTGGGATGATTTTTGAGACCTGTTTTATAGCAAGGAACATGGTTCAATCACTGTCAAGTTGCCGTTCTCTACGCTTCTCCGTGATTTGTCATGTTGGCCTCTTGCAGCAATATCAATTGAAAAATCATTGTCAACTTCCCCATAATTTTCCACAAAGAATTCCCTGAATGTCATTTTAAGATTTCACTGGAAAAACTTTCCTTTTTATGTTTGGAAAATGATCACATTCTCCGACGCCTAGAGCAAATTGCAGTCTTGCGTGTATGTGCATGAGAGCTGAACAAAAGCCACAAAAGACATGCGGCCATCCGATTCGATGTGAAGTCGACAACATACGTGGCCATTGGTGGAATATCGCATAATGAATTTTCCTATTGGCTAACAATTGGCGATGTCAACAAAGACTTGCTTTCAGCAACTTAAAAGCGTGAAGTTTTTAAAAAAAGATCGTTAGGACACTTTGTTTCCATCATTTCTCCCACAATTTCAAACAAAAGTTCAATCGAAAATCGGTTTCCATGATGCATGGCGGCCCAAGGCACAAAAGTCTGTGCGGCCGTGTTACTCGCGGTCAACCAGTAGAATTGCTCGTTGGGCACAGACATTGCCATCGGGATTTCCCCTGGCACATAATACTGCGCTGCTCACACACACATGTGTCCGTACGTACAAAAGATTTCCCACAACACAAGGTCCGGCCCAAGACCTTGACAAAGTGCATCCTATGAAATCAGTAACGCACCTTTGCCATGTAACCTCCAATCCTCTAAATTCCTCCACTTTGGCAAAGGGGTCATTCCGTGTCAAATCACCCAAAAAATTTTAACATTTAAACCCCACCCCCTTCAAATTGGTTCATATTTAGTTTATTGGGTAAGTTAGGCTGAAAAAGCTGAAATTTTCAGTTTTATAGCCGTCGGATAAATGGTTTCTGCGCTACCGCCCGCCATTATTTGGCAATTTTGGTCAAAATGGGCATGGCTGCCAATTTTCAAATGACCATATCTCCATAACCTGTGGGCCAAATTTGTTAATCGTGGTTTCTTTTGAAAGGTAACATCATAAGGAATCCAAATTTACCATTATGTTTCATGTCAGGGTTATTTGAAGTATAATGACCTTTTGACCTTGAATTTGACCTTGAATTTGACCTTGTGGATCACCCGTGTTTGAGACGAACTTGGATGAAACTTAAACTCCACCATGTTTTCTACAAAATATCAAAAAAATGGGGGTATAATATGTTTTGTTTGGTTTCTAGCTCATGTCAAAGTTGGCAAACGTGTTGCAAAATGTGATATCCCTATGCAGTGTACTAGTGGATTTAAAGTAGGGATTTTTTTGTCCCTGAAATATGTTCATGTATAGGGATATCACATTTTTCAACACGTATGCCAGCCAACTTTGACATGAGCTAGAAACCAAACAAAAAATATTATACACCCAATTTTTTTATATTTTGTAGAAAACATGTTGGGGTTTAATTTTCATTTAAGTTCGTCTCAAGGTCACATGATCCACAAGGTCAAATTCAAGTTCAAAGTAAAGGTCAAAAGGTCATTATACTTCAAATAACCCTGACATGAAAAATAATGGTAAATTTGGATTCCTTTTATGATGTTACCTTTCAAATGAAACCAAGATTAACAAATTTGGCTTACAGGTTATGGAGATATGGTCATTTGAAAATTGGCAGCCACGCCCATTTTGACCAAAATTGCTAAACAATGGGGGCGGTAGCACAAACACCGTTTGTCCGATGGCGCTAAAACTTAAAATTTCAGCTTTTTCAGCCTAAATTACCCCACATACTAAATATGAGCAAATTTGAAGGGGGTGGGGTGTAACCCATTGGGTGATTTGACATGGAATGACCCAAAGAGGATTTTGAAGGATTCAGGGCAGTTAGGGTTAAACTTCTCATAGCTCTGGAATGCTTCTGTTGATTGGCATGAATACAATTTGGCCATTTTAAAATACAAGGAAATATGCAACTTTTCTTCTTTTTTTCAAAATCAGGTTTTACTTTTACCCAAAGTTATTAACTTTCAACTGAAATTTGTAGTTACATGACCAACTAACTTTGTAAAATTAAACCCCTTTTGTTTTAATACACGGCCCTACCCGGCAGAAGTAAACATGATAAAATGTACTCACCACAAGATGAAAACAAGGAAAACGGATTCCTTCGAGGTTTCGATCAGCGCTTTTTCTTCCTCGTTTGGAAGGAAGAACATCACAGCATATCCATAACTAGACTCCACTAGTTTTGATACGACTTTGTCAAAGGGTTCGGCGTCGGTGCCCGTTTCCTTGAGCTTAATGCAATGATCTTTGTCCTCCTGACATTTTTTACCAATGTCAAAGAGCATCCAGGTAGTCGGGTTCTTGGCAGTTGGTCTCTCAGTCTGTATAAATGCTTCCAGTTGTGCTCTGCTTTCCGGATCAACGGTTGTGCCTGAAAGAGTACGAGTCGACTGAAAAATGAAAGACAAAGAAGAGAAGGAGGCTGGTAAGTCTACCGCATCGAACCACAAGTAGCCACATGGCAAGGCGACAAAAATTATAATGTGTGACTCACAGTGACTGAACAAAATTGCCAAAAATTATGCTAAAACCTGATTAAAAACAAGTCAGGTGTGTTTACAAACACGTATGCCCCGCAACCGTGACTGTTCCCATGACATAACACCACTCTTTTAACATCAACTTACATGTACCTTGGTCACATGGAACGTTCATTGACAGCATGTAAAGTAATGTATTTCTCAAGTTATCGCGCTGACAAAATTTCTTTTGTTTTAGCCACTGTGACCTTGACCCTTGACCTTTCGGCCCCAAATGCAAAAGGGTTCTTAGGATTACCAAGAACAATACACAAACCAAATTTGAAGTTCATATGTTAAGTACTTCTCACTTTGACCACTTCCTCAATCCTTCAAAATCCTACCCATGAGGGTGCACTACACACAAAGGATTAATTAAGTCAAGCAACAGTTGCCAAGCTGGCCATGCGACCGACAGCAAAAAGTTGATCTGCAGGTCACACATTACCAGCGTGCATTGCGGTTGGCGCCGCCATTTTTTCCAATTTTCACATTCAGAGTTTTTTTTAACGTTTTGGAGACACATGAACCTTCTTAAATACTAGCAAAGAAAACAAATACATAACATTGGCAGTTCCTCAATGGTCTACTTTTCAAGTAATTTCAACCGGAAATTTTGAGGCTCGCTTGTTGTACACGTTTGAGCGTAACTAAAATTTTGACTTAAAGTTTGACTATTTCACCTCACTGCTAGGTGACCAGGATGTGTGGCCATCATGCAGGGTACACAGGCATGCATGCCACTGGGAATTTAGGGGGAAAAAACCAGGAAACTCCAAACCAAACTAGATTTTGTACAGTGTTTTTCAATTTGTAATGGCATTCATGACAAGTAAAAAACGAGGAAATCAGCGGATCCGAGGAAAAGTTGCATGCCTGGGTACAGTGTTTGCTGGGTTCTTTTACGTGTGATTTATACAACACACGGGACCTACAAGCTTTACGTCCCCTCCAAAGGACGAAGCAATAATGGTTAAGTGCCTTGCTCAAGGGCACAAGTGTCCGGGCCCAGGCTTCCATGCTTGAACCCACGCCACTGTTGCCTCTGAAACACCAGAGCACGAGTCCAGACTGTTCTTAACCACTAGGCCATCTCAACCCCTCACTCAGTCGTCATGCAATGAAGACATCGTCCAACCTTAGTCCGATTAAATTGGACCCAACTTATCACCTTTTTAACATTCGGACATGGTCTGTCAATAGTAGGGTCCAAGCTAGCTCTACTACCTTCCGTTCTAACGCTCCACCAATTTGGCATACTTTGGTAACATGCACACGGTATGCATTTTGTGCAACTATAGAATGCAGGGCCACGCCGGAAGAGGTTTTTTTTTGTAGTGGGGTCGTTGAGTAGAATGGCACTATTTTGAGAACAAAGCAACTTTGGTATATGAGACTTCTCCTATGCGTATGCGGGTACGGTATTGGTGTGATCGTAGATGTATCAAAAAATAGAGGGCGGTATAAAGAGTTGAATGAGCATGAAGTAAATTGTGATTAATAGAGGGTGCTATAGAGAGTGAATTATTGACAAGTACGTAGTATATATACCAAGTGAGACAGCTTGGGATGTCTTGGATGCGTGGATGCGCGGTGGATGAGCATTAAGTCATCAATAGAGGGCGCTTTATTTACCCCAGGACCCTCTACTGTATTTACCCACTACTTTATTTCCTTATCTAAAACCAACCCCAACTGACCCACTCATAATTCCGTCTTGGATGCATGGATGCGCGGATGCAGGGTGGGCATGAAGTAAATTTTAATCAATAGAGGGCGCTATAGAAAACCGACTGCTCATTCACGCAGTCATGGATGTGCGGATAGAAAGGAGTGGCCCTGTATTCTATAGTTGTGCCGTCTATTTTCTTGTTTTTGCATGTTTTCAATACCTTAAGTTTTGAGACTCTCATACACAGTATTGAGAGTCCCAAATTTTCGGACTAGATGATACCATGCGTTTGTTCAATAAGCGGAGTTACTCTCGATCAACCAACTGAGTATGACATAGAGAGAGATGATGGTTTTGCAAAAGAATTCATGCCACGTGGGTAAGGACAGGCAGAAAAAAGTGATCACTTTGTCCAAGCAAGGAATTCGGTTTTTTTTCGGGTTTTTTCGGGTCGGGTCGGTTCGGGTCGGTTTTACTTTATTTTTTGTTGGGTTGGGTTGGGTTGGGTCGGTTTGAGGGAGTTAAGATTGTAGCGGGCCATTCTATACAGAATGCACTGTGGAGTAAATACCTAGCGCCCCTTAGGCTCATAATGGTATAGCCCATATGCCCTATTGCATTGTGGGAATGTTTAGACCATGCTTCATCATGGCTGCCATTCAGCCATGACCTTTCTATGTCGATGTAACATGTGTAAATAAAGATAGTAATCATGTAAAGCCAAGACGAGTCCGCAAGAGTCCAAAACCCCTCCATCCGAACCTGGTAATGGTCGATAAGATCATTACACTGGCGTAGTCGGCAGGATGGGGGAAAATTGGAGAGATTTTCGTGGATTGTTTTGTGCCGTGAATTCGACACGCTGAAGCAACGTGCTGTGCATTGTGCACATTCCAATGGACACGCCTGCCTGGTCGTGATCATCGAGCTTACATCACAAGTTATGTAAATAGTTCTGCAACTTCATGCTGTTGATTGTTTTGGCTGATTGTTGCCAGCTGTTGGACATTGATCATCATAGATTAATCGAGTGAACTTGATTCCGAATTTCGTCCGGAAATTCGCTGTGAAGATCATCATGCATATGATCGCTTCCATTTTTGTAGACTGTCAGTTTTGCATGTACCCTTTTTGCATGTAAAATGTCTGATCGTCCCTTCGTCTTTGGACCCCCCTCGTCTCTTCGGACTCTGTTATGTCTGGTCACCCCCGTGTGAACAACTCGTCCCGTCGTCGGACTCTGTTAACTATGTTTGGTCACCCCCGTGTGAACAACTCGTCCCTTCGGACTTTGAAACATTACTGTTTTGGCAACAACCCTTCGCCCAGGGGAGGAGTACCCAGCTCCTTGAGCACGGTTGCGTTAACCTTGGCCTCACCCAGTTTGGCCCGGGGAAGAGCTGATCTCTTTGAGCACCGTTTGCGATAACCTTTTGCCAGGGGAGGAGAACCTGTCTCTTCGTGCCTACTGTTTTTCGTCGACTGATGATCGTCTAAAGTTCTGCATGTATTCAGCCCTTCGTGCCCTCCATTTGACTGTTGTGACCATGGTGACTGTTTAGTTTTCCATCGGTTTATAAAGTCATGTGACTGTGTCAACTGTGAACTCTGACTGTAACTGTTATATGTTCACCTAGTTTAAGTGTATAACAATGTACATCACTCATTGATCACGTTGATTATGCAAATTCTGTTTAACCAGAAGTTGAGTTGTTAGGCATATAACTTATTGTCGAAAAAGCATTTGTGTGTTTTGACCTTTATCATGAGGAAACTGTTTGATCACTTTGTATTTTCGTCACAATTTTTTTTTTCAATTTGATCGTGATCATTGTCATTGATCGTCAAGAGGAATGATTAACTAGCTGTTAGTGAACGCAGAGTATCCTGTTTCATTGTGTCTATCGGATCATCTGGCAGTTAACTCGAGTGGAGGGGAGGAGTACCCAAAGTCTCCTTGAGCCAATACCTGGAGTATGGCGACAACCCAAAGCTGCGGGGAGGAGTACCCAAAGTCTCCTTGAGCCTACGTGATTGCAGTGTCTGACTCAAGAATGGATAAACCTGTCAGTGTCTCAGTACTAACCGTGACTGAATTTTTTTTTGAACTGTGATCAACATTATTTGATCTGTACAGCATTTGCAAATGATGATCCTATCATCTGATTGTTCAGCGCATGTCTGCTTGTACATGTAGTTGCACACATTGAGTATTGTTTGCCATTTAACCATGTTAACATAGGCATATTCAGGATTTGCTGTTTTTCCATGTTAGACTTGTTTTACGGGAAAAGATGATTTGTACTGAAATTGATTTCACTTTATTGCCAGGATTGACAAAGCTGTGAATTTTGAACACTTGTAATTTGTAGGGTTGCACATTGATCCACTGAACTGAGAGATTTACTGAGGAGTAAACAAGATTTATTACACTCTTCTTACTGTAAACTTCGTCTAAGGAGGGGGGAGTGTAGCGGGCCATTCTATACAGAATGCACTGTGGAGTAAATACCTAGCGCCCCTTAGGCTCATAATGGTATAGCCCATATGCCCTATTGCATTGTGGGAATGTTTAGACCATGCTTCATCATGGCTGCCATTCAGCCATGACCTTTCTATGTCGATGTAACATGTGTAAATAAAGATAGTAATCATGTAAAGCCAAGACGAGTCCGCAAGAGTCCAAAACCCCTCCATCCGAACCTGGTAATGGTCGATAAGATCATTACAAGATCAGTTTTGGTTTGCATTTATCGTCAGGGGGCCACGTGCACCGATCTCTTTTCAGGATCTACGGCACAGGAAACAGCCGTTGCATTTGCAACTCGCGCCCTCGCAAACTCGACAAGCAATTTGCATAAACGCGACGTCACAGCTTGAGGTCATCTCTTGTCACATTCAAAATGGCTGCCACCACCAGACGTTTCACGAGTGCATATGGGCTCCAGAAAGATTGAAGAATATCTAGGAAAATGGAACATCATTAGACCAGAAGCATCCCAGAAGTGACAGGTGAGACATCATAGAATACAACCATAAGAAAGTAAGAAACTGAGAATGTAAGAAACCGCCCTGAATTTTATGAAAACTTCGTCCTCAGTAGCGCGCGGTACCACGGTGTGTGGCCAGAGGTTCAGCGCAGCATACCGACGGCCACACTAGTCATGCTAGTGGGGCTAGTCAAAATAGTAACATTGAAAACGCTCTTTTTCAAAAACCATTTGATCAAAATTTATCATTCAAAAAGATTTTTTCTTCTTTTTCCAAGATCTTTCCAAAAATGTAAACAGAAAACCCATTTTTTTTTTAAATTGCTATGACATGCCTACTTGGACCCTACTGTTACTAATACTAGGCATAGCACACAAACAATTATTTATTGTGCAATATGTAAACAGACAGTGCCAATTGAAAGAGCTATGTGAAAGATGAATACTTATTTTTTTTTTTTGAAAATCGGTCAATGCATTCCAGAGTTATGGTAAATTAAAGTTCACCAAAATTAGCGAAATCCTGCCAAAAATGGAATAAAAGCCCAAAAAAGGAGTTTTTAAAAATTTTAACCAGCACTTTCAATATGTAGATTACTTCAAATAGTATTTCAAACACAGTATTTAGCAAAATGGCCACCTGGAAATGTACTACATCAAAAACCGAATGTATATAATTTTGTATGGCTGTGTCTCAGACCGTCAAAAGTGCCCGTTTTCCCAATTTCAAGAATGGAAACACTGGAAATGGTGCAAAAACGACTAAGTCCACCTCATTAATATGCGTAAACACTATAACTTTAGTTCTAAGTGGTCTATTGTGATGAAATTTGGTATGTAGGCTTTCTCTATCATGACGGGTCTACAAGCCCAATATGAAGTAAATACCTCCATAATTATGCAAATTAGCTTTGTGCAGCTAATTAATATGCGTAAACGTTATATCTTCATTTCCGAGTACCCTATTCTGATGAAAAATATATGCAAGCTATGTGTTTGAATATTGGAACAATTATTTAGAGAAAAGAAGTGATTTACATCATTAAGCAAATTGTTTAATATATTTAATGATGACTTCGTTATGTAAATATGCATGTAGTAATTAAAATCAGTCCGGCTCATTAAAATTACAAACCTAATCCAAAACAGAACCTTGCTTGTTTTATCTTTTGTATTGCCTCTTTACATTTTGTTATATAAATCACAGTTTCAAGAAAAAAAAATAACACAAATATTTGTTTACATGATTTCTCAACCGTGGGTAAATTGTTTATTTCACAATACATTACAAAAAATTACTGTCATAAAATCCATTCAGTTAGTCCAAGGAGTAAGTGCGCAAATAACAACAGCCACAGTTTAGCCAAAATGCATGTGCTGTTTGCTGCGCAGATTTCACGAAACTGAATCAATCCAACACAACCGCATACCGCACAAACAGAACGCCCCTCGCATGAAACAGTCGTAGATAAGAGCGCCCACACACAACGCGTTACGTGCACGTGCAATGCTCAACCAAGGCTGCTACATTCATGCTTCATGCCTCCCTTCACACGGCTCAACTTTGACCGTGTTTTTCAAGGATTTGTTTGGCCTTTTTCAGTCACCTAAAATGTATCGTTTTAAGAATAAATAGAATTCAATCTTCTCCACGAAAGTCACCAAGCACTTCTTTTTCTTACCAGGGATTTGTAATCATAAACTAGTTCAGAAACTTGGCCAGCAATCGCTCAAGTAGATGCGAGAATCTCGCCGCGACATCGACAGCGTCATCCGTATACACACCGTTTGGTCACGCTTCTTGTCATTTTCAAAACTGACGCAAGGAAAAACTCGCTGTATTTTTTCTCAAATGGACAGGACTTCCACTCAAGTATTTGATGATCTGTAAGGATGAGGTGATAGAGCAACTTCTCCACAATATTGCGGTGCCTCTTTCTTCTCGAAATTGTGGAAACTTCAATTTTTACGGGAGGGTTTTCTTTGCACAAAATCTACGCTTCAAACTTTCGAAACTGACGGGTAAGCTCCAAGAAAGAAGTGTGATGATAATGTCAAAGGTCATGTCTACCATATTTGGAAGTTTCATGCTCAAACAAGGAGCGGAAGGCCTGTCCAAGACCATTTCAAAATAGGGGGTTTTGCGCTTCGTTTCTGAGCTGCGCGCGAAGGGAATAAAAGATCCTGCGTGACTGTAGCGCGTAATGATGGTGTATTTTATAACTTCGATTATTGTCGCTGCATTTTATTTATTATGTACTTTAAAAATATACAAATATAAAAGAAATGACACACTATTCACACAAGAAAAAATAATCTTGATTGGTTTATTGACTCTAAAATGAGACGATCTTGAAAAGTGCACTACATCATATGTCGCGGTCACGCTTTCGAGTCAACTCGTACCTTGGGCGACTCGTACCTTGGACAACTCGTACCTTGGACAACTCGTACCTTGGACATCTCGTACCTTGGATAACTCGTACCTTGGACAACTCGTACCTTCAATTAAGACGACTCGTACCATCAGAATAAAAAGTAGAGTACATGTACACTGTACGTGCGCGACTTAGTGTGTGGTTCCTTGACTAATTAATAAGCAGTCCACTTCCAATGAGTTACGGTCCACTTTATTCAGCCTCGGATCATTATCCTGATTGACGGTACGACTTGTCTTACGCGTGATGGTACGAGTCGTCTTAACTGAAGGTACGACTTGCCGAAGGTACGAGTTGTCCAAGGTACGACTCGGTATAATGACGTCGAGTTGAAGGAACGAGTTGTCCAAGGTACGAGTTGCCCAAGGTACGAGATGACCTGTTACCGCGGTCACTACGTGCGTACGGCAGACTGTCACGACTGTATGTTGGGCCAGTCGGCCAGAGTGCTATGCCTACTAATACTATAGCCAGACCATGTCCGAATGTTAAAAAAGGCGATGAGTTGGGATCAAGTTACTCTGACTAAGTTGGGGCGTACTACTCTGCAGTGACAGTGTTGGGCCCCTACCAAATATTGCATCGATAATCGACAAAATGATCGAGGTCGAGGCAACGTCGTCAATACTTGTGAAAAATATAAATCATCCTTTAACTGTAACGCCCGGTTCTAATGCTTCATGTTTATTAAGGATCAAAGCATGGAGCTATAAATTTTACTCACCATTTTGAGAAACAAAGTTTCGTCTAAAAAATCAGAGAAATCTCCAAGTTTGTCACACTTCCTGCTTCGCTCGGTGCTTATGTAGGCCTAGATCGTATGTGCAAGGGCCGGTAGATCTCACGTGCGTTATAGTTTAATGATGGCGATATCGCAATGGCGTGTGTGGTTCACGGCGCGTATGAATATTGTAGACAAATCGTCAGTAAAAATATTTCTTTACAAACGGATGTTTGATTGGACAATTGTTTTCCTATTATTCTAGTACGTCATATTTAAACCAATCAAAAAGCCTGTTGTGAACAATCAGACTCGGTACCGTACCGTTCAACAATCAAAATAACTTTAAAATAGTACCACAATTCGAAACAAGTTCTTTCTTTTAATGCTTTACATCACATGTGCTAAATTTCAAAATACATAAATTCTAAATATTTTTGGAGGTAACCCTCTGACAAACCGATTTTCAAATACAGGATTACTGGTGAACGTCATTCAAAGGGCGTGGCGAGGGGCCATTTTAGCCAAATAAGGCATGACATTCCTGATTGGCCATCTTTTAACTCTTTCATAAATATGCATTATAATCGTACGGTACGCGTAATTTTTATTCCTAGGAGGGTTAGGGGCAATTCATGAATAATTCATGTTTATCCATGAGAACGGACAATGACATCAATAGCATTGTTGTTAGTTACTCAACTAGTTACAATACATTAAAGCATTTTAAAGAACGGTTGTCGTCGAGCTACCACACAGCCTAGTGGATAGGGAGATGAGCTATGGATACAAAGATCCCTGGTTCGAATCCACGTCGTCGCTGCTCATTTTCATCAGCTATTTTTCTTCTCCAAATTTATCACTGAGATAATTTTAATTTAAGGGGAAAATAGAACGAGAACCTAATTCTTGCAATGATTCAAAGGAAAAACTGAATTATTCATGACATTGCCCCTAACCCTCCTAGGAAAAAAAATTACGCGTACGGTACAGCGCGGTACGCATGCTGTCTGCGCCGGTGTCACGGTAGTCTGGTTCCCAGACCTGACAATTATACATTATATATATACATTTGTAAAAAAACTGATTCAATTTCTTGTTACATAACTAATGCTTTTAAAGACTTAATTCGAATTCTATAATTTAATAGGGCCTATGGCATTGTTTCTTTATATTACATGTAAATTGAACATTCCTGGCTTGTGACCAGGCGCGGATCCAGAGGGTTTTTTTGGGGGGTCAACCCCCTCCCAGCTCTGTCAAAAAAAAAATTCTCATACAAATTCCTGAAGAATAAGTCGACCCCCCCCCCCCCTGACACCCCCAAAAACATTATACTGGTCTAATGTCCGCCTGTTCAAAATACGGTACACCATTCTGTAACGTGTTAATAATCGTCGAATTTGAACAGCGCCCCCGATTGAAATTGGTACCAGCCCCCCCCCCACCCCCCCCACCCCGCCCCCCGCCCCCCCCCCCCCCCCCCCCCCCCCCCCCCCGTTTTTATTTTACGGAAGCGAGTGTCCAGAGAAAAAAAACGTGTGTACATTTTCAATTTTTTTGGCTGATGAAACCCCCCCCCCCCCTGCGAAAATTCCTGGATCCACCCCTGGTGACTCGCGTGACATACATCATGTGTGACTCGCGTGACATTCTTGAGATTCGAAATTCGAAACAAGTTCTTTCTTTTAATGCTTTACATCACATGTGCTAAATTTCAAAATACGTAAATTCTAAATATTTTTGGAGGTAACCCTCTGACAAACCGATTTTCAAATACAGGATTACTGGTGAACGTCATTCAAAGGGCGTGGCGAGAGGCCATTTTAGCCAAATAAGGCATGACATTCCCGATTGGCCATCTTTTAACTCTTTCATAAATATGCATTATAATCATTGATCTCCATATATGGAGATCAATGATTATAATCGTACGGTACAGCGCGGTACGCATGCTGTCTGCGCCGGTGTCACGGTAGTCTGGTTCCCAGACCTGACAATTATTCCCGACGCTCACGTAAACATGACGACATTGACGGCCCTTTTTAAAAACTCGGCTTCGTTTCCGAATTGGCTCTATCACTTATAGATTTTAATGTTCCGATCATATTTTTAAATAAATCACGTGCTTCGTAATATCATACAGTTACGACAATACAGTTTGATATTTCTGTAAGAAAACATTGACTAATGTTGACCTGAAATCTTCAAAGTTAGGCACCCAAATATTGGCACAGTAAGCAGGCGCGGGTCCAGGGGTGGGCCGCGCCGCGGGGGCACGTGCCCCCCGTCCAATTGACTCCACACAAAAAAAGGGGGGGGGGAGAAAGGAAAAAAGAGGAAGGAGAGCGAAAAGAGGGGAAGGAGGAGGCAACCCTCCTTACAAAAATACCGGCGCGGATATTAAACATCAGCCAGCAAACATTGCGTAGTGGCAGAATGACAGCGAGCTCGAGAGTCGATCAAGTGAAGCTTCGAAATAAACCGCGATCCCACCGTACGTACCCCGCATAACGTAACCCTGCATGTACATGTACGTATACTTAAGTATCAGCCATTCCATGGTGACTCGCGTGACATTTGAACAAAATGTAAAGATTTTAATGCATTACTGTTGTTAACCTGGCATTTATTCAACTCAAATTAGCATGTATTTGAGTCAGGGCATTGTGAATTTATGGTTTAGTCTTTATATGATTACTTTAAAATCGCTATTTTTTCATGTATCACAGTTTCTATGACGTGACTCGCATGACAGGATAGAAAAAGGGATTTTTGACATCCCTTGATTCAAATAGCTTTTCCTATGGATCTACCAGTGTTCTAAAAATTATTCTTACAGAACTTAGAACTTAATACCCTCACCCAATACATGCATAAGTTGTATTGTGCCAAATATCACTTGTTGTAAGAAATGGCCTGAAGAAAATGTGACTCGCATGACACAAATGCGTGACTCGCGTGACACAGTAGCTTTTCACTTTCACATTATAACTGTAATTTTAGTATAACGAATCAAATCATAATATTATATTAATAAAAATGATTTACCTGTGAATACCTTATGAAAGAGTGTGAAAACTGCTATTTATCCCTTTACTTTGGCAAATGTTGGGGGTGGAAATCTGGTTTAAACACAATATCCTTAACAATGACATAGAGAGAGAAAAAATGTTTTGGAATTTTAGTTAGGAAGTGATGTCATCAATCCACGGGTGATTATTTCAGGAAAACAGTTGTAATTCTTGGTCATGTAGAGTCACAGTTTCCTTAAATGGTAAGATCGAGCTGCAATTAATGATGCAGTTGTATCGGAATGTATACAGTACAGTCGAATCTCGTTTGTACAAACTCTGTTAATAGAGCATGACAAACCCTCTGACAAACCGATTTTCAAATACAGGATTACTGGTGAACGTCATTCAAAGGGCATGGCGAGGGGCCATTTTAGCCAAATAAGGCATGACATTCCTGATTGGCCATCTTTTAACTCTTTCATAATGCATGTACCGTACGATTATAATCATTGATCTCCATATACGGAGATCAATGATTATAATGCATATTTATAATCATTGATCTCCATATATGGAGATCAATGATTATAATCGTACGGTACAGCGCGGTACGCATGCTGTCTGCGCCGGTGTCACGGTAGTCTGGTTCCCAGACCTGACAATTATTCCCGACGCTCACGTAAACATGACGACATTGACGGCCCTTTTTAAAAACTCGGCTTCGTTTCCGAATTGGCTCTATCACTTATAGATTTTAATGTTCCGATCATATTTTTAAATAAATCACGTGCTTCGTAATATCATACAGTTACGACAATACAGTTTGATATTTCTGTAAGAAAACATTGACTAATGTTGACCTGAAATCTTCAAAGTTAGGCACCCAAATATTGGCACAGTAAGCAGGCGCGGGTCCAGGGGTGGGCCGCGCCGCGGGGGCACGTGCCCCCCGTCCAATTGACTCCACACAAAAAAAGGGGGGGGGGAGAAAGGAAAAAAGAGGAAGGAGAGCGAAAAGAGGGGAAGGAGGAGGCAACCCTCCTTACAAAAATACCGGCGCGGATATTAAACATCAGCCAGCAAACATTGCGTAGTGGCAGAATGACAGCGAGCTCGAGAGTCGATCAAGTGAAGCTTCGAAATAAACCGCGATCCCACCGTACGTACCCCGCATAACGTAACCCTGCATGTACATGTACGTATACTTAAGTATCAGCCATTCCATGGTGACTCGCGTGACATTTGAACAAAATGTAAAGATTTTAATGCATTACTGTTGTTAACCTGGCATTTATTCAACTCAAATTAGCATGTATTTGAGTCAGGGCATTGTGAATTTATGGTTTAGTCTTTATATGATTACTTTAAAATCGCTATTTTTTCATGTATCACAGTTTCTATGACGTGACTCGCATGACAGGATAGAAAAAGGGATTTTTGACATCCCTTGATTCAAATAGCTTTTCCTATGGATCTACCAGTGTTCTAAAAATTATTCTTACAGAACTTAGAACTTAATACCCTCACCCAATACATGCATAAGTTGTATTGTGCCAAATATCACTTGTTGTAAGAAATGGCCTGAAGAAAATGTGACTCGCATGACACAAATGCGTGACTCGCGTGACACAGTAGCTTTTCACTTTCACATTATAACTGTAATTTTAGTATAACGAATCAAATCATAATATTATATTAATAAAAATGATTTACCTGTGAATACCTTATGAAAGAGTGTGAAAACTGCTATTTATCCCTTTACTTTGGCAAATGTTGGGGGTGGAAATCTGGTTTAAACACAATATCCTTAACAATGACATAGAGAGAGAAAAAATGTTTTGGAATTTTAGTTAGGAAGTGATGTCATCAATCCACGGGTGATTATTTCAGGAAAACAGTTGTAATTCTTGGTCATGTAGAGTCACAGTTTCCTTAAATGGTAAGATCGAGCTGCAATTAATGATGCAGTTGTATCGGAATGTATACAGTACAGTCGAATCTCGTTTGTACAAACTCTGTTAATAGAGCATGACAAACCCTCTGACAAACCGATTTTCAAATACAGGATTACTGGTGAACGTCATTCAAAGGGCATGGCGAGGGGCCATTTTAGCCAAATAAGGCATGACATTCCTGATTGGCCATCTTTTAACTCTTTCATAATGCA